CATTTATTTGATTTTGATTAAATACTTTAAGTTAGTCGGATATTTCAGGTACATAATGTGTTGCGTTTCTCTTGTTTTTAATTTTCCCATATTTTTAATGTTATTTTATTTCTTTAGCCTACGCATTTTGTAGGGGTTTTGGTGACAATATTTCCTCTTTCCTTGGAAGCTAGGCTTCATCGCCTCACTCAATGTGAACAAAAATTCCTAATGAGTGTAATTTTTAAAACGGGGTCGGGCAATTAGGGCACACATAATTGGCATGTTATTTAACGAGCGGCCACTCTCTACAAATACATTAAGTCGATGGATAAGTAGTAGTCGTTTTCGTTTTCATCATATGTTTACCAGATGTCAGATAAATAATGGAAAAAAGCCTGACTACTTATGAATCTGTGACATTCCTATAATTGTACTTTTGCTTAGATTTTGTTCTGGAAAGTCGTATTTAAATGTGGTTCGTATTTATTTGCGTAATTATTTTACTAGGTAAATTTTTAAATGGTATTTGCTATTGTCTAGGGTGTGTGTATAATGAGTGTACAAAATAATACATTAGTGTAAGATTACTTTCCACTTGTGAAATATAGTAGCTGTATTGCGCTTTATAAACATAATTCCTACTGCATTGTAATGGTTATTGTTGTTTTTTTGCAATAAATTACTATAATTGAAAATTCACAAGCCTTCCTCTCATTAAATGAAATGCTACATGAATTTGAAACATTATCAGTGCTATGAGTAATTGAAATAACTATAATCGTCCATATTTGATTAGATAAGGGTAGTAAATACTTACCTAAAATCGCCTTTATTTGATCGGAAAAGGGTTATAATGACGTACCTCATATCGCATTTACTTCATCGGAAAAGGGTTATAAAGACGTGTGAAAAATCGCCTATATTTGATCGGAAAGGAGTTGTAAAGAGGTTGTTTTTAGACGCCTATACTTGATCGGAAAGACGTAGTAATAGTGCAACTACAATTTTAAGCTTAGGCATAAAAGGGTAGTAAACCCGTAGACCCTGGCCTTTCCGGTAGAGCTTTACACCGTTGAAAAGGCTTGTAAAGAGAATATTCAGACCCATTTCCTGAAGAGTAAAAGAGCTGAAAATTGACTTTTTGTGCTGTGTTACAGATGTCTTGAAGCAACTGTTTTTTGACCACTTCAATTACTTTAAGGAAACATATGAATAGGTACTGTGTATGTTTCTTTTTTTTCATTTAACCATCTCTTTTAAACTGCCACAGATCAACTCCTTGCAAATATTCAGTTAAATCAGACCCCTAGGTAAAACGTTTGAAATCATTAGAGAAGTGATTTATTTTTTGTAATGTCTGTGCAAGACTGAAAGAGAATATTTGTATTATACATACGCAATCATAGGGTTACAGTGGTTTCCGGTCAATTGTTATCATTGTTATTCTCTTTTCTATTTCTATAATCTTCACCCCACAGCGAGATTGCAAATACCCGCATCAGAAGTCTACTTTTCATTAGCGTGCAAAATAAGACTGTCAAGGCTAAACGGTGTGGATTTTTTTTTTTTCCACAAGAATCAATTTTACATGATTATCTTTTTGTGTAATGACGTCGGTTGCTTTGATGGCGTATTACTGCATCTACTTCGAGACAGTGTGAGCACCCATTGGTTTGATGTTCGAGTAACCTAGTTATGAGAGAGACTTTTCAAAACGAAAAAAAAGGAAAGAAAAACAGATCATCTTTTTTTCCTGCAACTTGATATATCTGCCATTATATATTTTAAAAACACACTAGTTAGAGTGTAGTGGCACAGACGATATAGTGCGTGTCTGGGGAGGCTAGATATGCACCCCTAGAGATGTAATGTGACCTTAGTGATGTGCATATACTTCATTTGGCTTTAGGGGAGTTTTTCGGTGAAATACTTTCTCTCGGTATGTATGTCAATTACTACACTGCCACCCTCTCTGGATTTTTGCCTTGAACACCTTTCTATCTGGCATATGTCGTTTGGGGTGATATTATATTATTTGATAGTGTATTATCTCACACATCATTCACAGCCAATGTGATTTGGGACCAAGGTCCCTAGGTAAATTATTGGACAAAAAGGAAGAAAATCGTCTTTTGAGCCGTGACCACTTGTATTAGATTCTTACAGACATCTGCTCTTTCAACAACTGTGAGGTCTGCGTGTGACCAATTCACAGAATAAGCAACACCTACGCATGATTTTGCTTCAGTCTTAAGGGTTTTCATTTCAAACAAAGGAAATCATTTGTTAACTTCAGCACAACGTTCTGAAATAACAACACACGAGGCCAAAAAAAATAAAAAATAAAAATAACAAAATAAAAATAAAAATAAAAAACTGAGATGCCTTTATACACTTTAGCTAATATAAGCGGTGATATTGGATGAACGTTATTGTAATAACATAAGAGACACACGCAAAGCCTTTGTAAACAATATGTACGGCCCTATATACAAGCACAGCATTACACTAACTCATCACGTTANATATTTGTACATTGAGTGCATTGTATTGTATTATATACCTCAAAGCATTTTAGCATTTTATATCCACCACTATAAGAATTTGCCACACTTGTCAATGTTACAGACACGTGTGAATAAAGTTAGTTTTAGGATATGTGAAGTCAGAGATTATACAAATAAAAATATGTATTGGGCTTAGAAGATGGGGTGTAATGTAAACATAATTAAATACATTCTTATAGGACGTGCATGTCACAACTAGCGCATTTACACTGAAAGTTGAACACATAAAGCGACATACATGTAAATGCACTGCATTATGATACTTAAACCAGTCGTGGGGATTTATTTGCAGGTCCTTATCACTTTTAATTCTTGCCACTGCATTAGCACATATATGGAAAATGCATAGTAGAATTTCATAATCAGGATAACACCTTATTTAAAAGTAGACAAAATTTATATATTGTGAGCATACCATGGCATAAAAATATCTACTTACCGTAGGGGTTTTATACATGTGCAAACTTATAGATGAAAGCATAAAGTATGTCGATGACTATCATACATACAATTTATGGTGTAACATGATTCTGTGTGTGTTAGATTATACCTTGAAATAACATACACTTACGTCACTCAAGTATTCGGCAATTTTGTCCCCTGATCTTTCACCTCTGTACACAATCTTCTGGCCTTCGTAGTAGATAACAACGGCGCCCCATTTACCAACACCTAATGAGAAAAAAAAAATTATTTGTTTATTCCTAGCAGTTCAACACCCTGGGTTTTAGTATCTGGTAGAAACACCATTCCAAATCTGTTGCAGTCATAACCGCCTAGGTACACGTATATAATAGTAAACTGCGAAAAAGCTCTTGGAATGACATGTTCGTGTTATACACGAAGGAGAGGTTTCATTAGATTATGCCCACCCTGTTTATATCAAGATGCATTACATCCGTAAAAATATTAAAATGTTTAGACAGCAGGAAACTATTCCTTGTTTCAAAATCATGTTATGAAATGAGAAAAAATGTCACTGTAGGTCACATAAGCGGCAGTAAAAGTGTGACCCACCTTGTTCCTTTGTGATCTTCATATCATCTACGACTCCAGCGACAAGTTCGTAGTGAACGAAAGGGTGAAGTTCCTGAAGTCAACAATATATGGAGACACGGTTAAATATCCGTAGAGTCGGTGACAAAACAGGGCATTTTTCTCAACTATTCAATTTGACAGAGCCTCTAATTCATTTTAATAGGTTTATCGATAAAAACAACATGGTGTTTGCTGGTTTTACCTTTTGGAATATTAAGAAACCGATTCAAATAAGTCACAACAAAAAAACAAAAACAAAAAAACTTTCATACTGAAACGAGTTGATCAAAAAGTTTACAGCATGCAGACAGGCAGACAGACAGGCAGACAGACAAACGGACAAACAGACAGACCGGTAGACCGTTGAAACTGGGTCAAACCTACCTGGAGCATATTTTCACCTATAGCAACAAGCTGTCGATTTGGAGCGAAGTACACCACGGCAAGTTTTCCAGCGTCGATGATTTTGTGGAGTGCCTCACGTGACAAGTGTACAACATGGAACGCATCTGCGTCCTTAATCCCGTCTCCATCCCGATCGTCATCATCGGCATCCGGAATGCCGTCATTGTCGTCGTCATCATCTAGGTAGTCCGGTATCCCATCACCGTCTGAATCTTTCTCTAAATGATCCGGTATGCCGTTGCCGTCTGCGTCATTGTCTAGGTAATCCGGTATTCCGTCTCCATCCTTATCTCTTTCAAGCTCATCCGGGATGCCGTTTCCATTAGAGTCGTCGTCTTCAGAATCCGGTATTCCATCATTGTCGTCGTCATCGTCTAGATAATCCGGAATGCCGTCTCCATCCGTATCTTTTTCTAGACCATCGGGTAATCCGTCACCGTCGATATCATTATCGCGGTAATCCGGAATTCCGTCACCATCCGTGTCCCTTTCCTGGACGTCCGGTATTCCATCGCCGTCAGCATCATTATCATCAGCATCTGGTATACCATCGCCATCATCATCGTCATCAAGATAGTCCGGAATTCCGTCGCCATCTGTGTCTTTTTCCTGATCATCCGGTATTCCGTTTCCGTCAGCGTCGCTGTCTAAGTAGTCTGGGATTCCGTCTCCGTCTGTATCGATGTCTACCGCATCATTCGATTTGACGTCCGGTATGCCATCGCCGTCTGCATCAGAATCCAGTGCATCGACGATACCGTCGCCGTCTTGATCACTTTCAAACTAAAAAAATGAGACAAATCTTCATTTTTACATTTGGTAAAATGCACAAATTTTATGCCAATTGAAAAAATAATTATTACAAGGCTTAACAAAATGTTGATTTCGAATATATATTACTTTTAACGATTCGTTGCAACTGGAAGGCAAACAAAGAATAAATTTTGTGCCAGATGGAAGTACTACTTTGTAGTGCACATGCCTGCAGATGCTCGTTGTTCGACTTGAGGCAATCAAGAGTGGTCATTAACTATCATATATGTTACTGCACTGAAACAGGTCGTCTTTGAATTACCTCTGCTAGGAATTCTGCAATCTTTTCTCCCGACCTCTCGCCTCTGTATGTGGTTTTCTCGCCTTGGTAGTAAACAACAAGTGCGCCCCATTTACCCACGCCTGAAATAGAACGGGATACGAAGCCCAAGGTGAAATATTATATTACAGGATTAGCCAAAAGATACACGAATTTGCCTACCATAGTGTGTGTGTGTGTGTGTGTGAAAGAGAGAGAGAGAGAGAGAGAGAGAGAATGTGCGTGCGTTCTAGTCAAAGTTCACACAACGTTTAATATAAAACGCAATTTGGTTGATAATGTTCTGCTTCTGCTAAATGTCTCCAACACGTTCTACCTAGGCCCTGGGATAAGAACCCCTTAAAACAGCACATACAGAAAATGTATTTGTGAGTGCGAAAAGGCACAAAAATAGCAGACAGACAGCTGCCTCGTTTTCACCACAACCCACCTTGTTTCCTGGCAACATGAAGATCGTCGACGACTCCTGTTATAACTTTCTGTTTTGTAACATCTTGCGTTTGCTGTAAAATATAATGTGATTATAAGGAACTTAAAATACCATTATCAAGTCTAAACATGTGTAGCAAGTGGACAGGAAGTTCAAAGAGACATACTCATCGTATCTAACTCAAAGGTTACTTAGATTGAGCTTCTTACCTAGACTGACGTCAGACTTACTGGATTATTTCTACATTCGTTTTCTCCCAGTAAAAATGTTTTAAAGTGAAGTGCGTAATCTTAATTTGATTATTTTAGAAATGTACGCCGAAAAAGCGCAATTCTTTTATTCGCTTTCCGTTAAACTATCGCATTTCCCTCAAAGTTAGCCCTAATTAGATAACTTTCAAATTGACCACAACAGATTGGAAGGTCATTGACACCATACATATTCCTTCAGCCAGCGCAGTCGAGGAGCAAAAGGTGTTGGATAAAATTCACGGCCTATCGACGTGCATCCCTTGTGTATCAAAATAACATAACTAATACACACAGTGTCATATCATATTACCCCAAAACGCATATGCACCCATGTCAGAAGCTGGCATAAGGGCAAATAGATCTTCATCAGTTCGACGTGATACAGCCCACAAAAATAGAACAGTAGGGTAGAATTGAATAGACGTCCCAAACCTTTCGTATCGTATGTATGACCCTACCCTGGGAATTTTTTTTCTGAATGCAGAAGAATAAATTGGTAACAAACAGTGATGTGTGACTTGAGTTTAAATCGTAAGTGAAGGTTTGTGCTGGTGTAAAACTGTGTTGATTACGACTCCCAACGGCATACGCTTTAAACAAGGCGTTTGCAGTATGCCGTCGAATTTGATTTAATCTTTAGCTTTGATTTTAGAGGAAGCTGTTTCATCTAATTCGATTTCGCATTTCTCTGCCCCCTACGTATATATTTACTACTGTATTCGTAGAGTTCTACGGCCCCTGTTTCCCAGCGGGTTAGCATCGCTATAGCCTTCTTTGCTAGCCGTCTTTGTTAGGTGTCGTGATTTCAACTGATTAGTTTTGTTTGCTGACACGTGGTGAGATCCTCTATGTAAGATAAGACGGTTCACAGCAGGGTTTTTACTATATTGGATTGTTGTAGACGTCAAACTGTTTATATGTACACTATATATCTTTTTGTAAAGAGGGTTGTGTTTGTGCAGATCTATTTATGGGTCTGGCAGTAGTCCCCGATCCAATCGTTTTTGTGAGTTAGCAAGATACATGTATTACTTTGCATAATGTGTAGCTTTTAAAAATACGTTGCGTGCGTCTGTAAGTGATGGATTTGGTACTTACAGATTAAATGTCTTGAAGCAACTGTTTTTTGACCACTTCAATTACTTTAAGGAAACATATGAATAGGTACCGTGTATGTTTCTTTTTTTTTCATTTAACCATCTCTTTTAAACTGCCAAAGATCAACCCCTTGCAAATATTCAGTTAAATCAGACCCCTAGGTAAAACGTTTGAAATCATTAGGGTAGTGATTTATTTTTTGTTATGTCCGTGCAAGACTGAAAGAGAATATTTGTATGATACATACGCAATCATAGGGTTACAGTGGTTTCCGGTCAATTGTTATCATTGTTATTCTCTTTTCTATTTCTATAATCTTCACCCCACAGCGAGATTGCAAATACCCGCATCAGAAGTCTACTTTTCATTAGCGTGCAAAATAAGACTGTCAAGGCTAAACGGTGTGGATTTTTTTTTTTTTTTGCCACAAGAATCAATTTTACATGATTATCTTTTTGTGTAATGACGTCGGTTGCTTTGATGGCGTATTACTGCATCTACTTCGAGACAGTGTCAGCACCCATTGGTTTGATGTTCAAGTAACATAGTTATGAGAGAGACCTTTTAAAACGGAAAAAAAAGGAAAGAAAAACAGATCATATTTTTTTCCTGCAACTTGATACATCTGCCATTATATATTTTAAAAATACACTAGTTAGAGTGTAGTGGCATAGACGATATAGTGCGTGACTGGGGAGGCTAGATATGCACCCCTAGAGATGTAATGTGACCTTAGTGATGTACATATACTTCATTTGGCTTTAGGGGAGTTTTTCGGTGAAATACTTTCTCTCGGTATGTATGTCAATTAGTACACTGTCACCCTCTCTGGATTTTTGCCTTGAACACCTTTCTATCTGGCATATGTCGTTTGGGGTGATATTATATTATTTGATAGTGTATTATCTCACACATCATTCACAGCCAATGTGATTTGGGACCAAGGTCCCTAGGCAAATTGTTGGACAATAAGGAAGAAAATCGTCTTTTGAGCCGTGACCACTTTTATTAGATTCTTACAGACATCTGCTCTTTCCACAACTGTGAGGTCTGCGTGTGACCAATTCACAGAAAAAGCAACACCTACGCATGATTTTGCTTCAGTCTTAAGGGTTTTCATTTCAAACAAAGGAAATCATTTGTTAACTTCAGAACAACGTTCTGAAATAACAACACGCGAGGCAAAAAAAAAAAAAAAAAAAAAAACTGAGATGCCTTTATACACTTTAGCTAATATAAGCGGTGATATTGGATGAACGTTATTGTAATAACATAAGAGACACACGCAAAGCCTTTGTAAAACAATATGTACGGCCCTATATACAAGCACAGCATTACACTAACTCATCACGTTACGAAGTTGGCACAGGTACCTTCCATCTATCACTAGACTTTTATGTACATGCACTGGTACACGCGATTCCAATTCTATCCCAGCCGATCACTCAATACACCAATTCACCATGCATATTACACACAATTCCAGTCTGATTATGACATTTGCAGTAAGCTACACCTGTATGCGCCAGATGATTAACCTTACAGGAGATTCTCAACAAGTGTCGTAGACGAAAGATTGGTATTGTTTGCTACACGGCAATACTTTTGGTATCCCTGCTATATCTCACCCACGACGATTACAAAACATCAAGAATATGTAGGCGAATTAAATTATTGTGAAATAATCCGTAGTTCAATGATCAGCGCAATGCACAATAACTGTTCCCACTAACGCAAACCCATATTTCTATTGACTTCTTATTAGTACAACTGCAAGTATGCACATTACTGTTTGTTTATTTTGCGAAATGACCAAAGAAACAAATGTATAAGCAAAGCTTAAAGCGGCAGTTTTTAATATGCTCTTCTCAGCACATATAGACAAAAATACGTAGCCCTTTCATCAGTTATGTGTATACCGGTACAGAATTGTTCCCCATATGAAAAGCCATATGCAAAGATGTTATACCACGACCATAAAATAGGCACCATATTATAATTATATTGTAGCGGTCTGCTCTCTAACCTTGTGGTATACATATTTTACCATACATCGACCACCTTATATACCGAGAGTTAAAGGTGAGTAGTAAGGTAGCTCGTGTCAGGTTACCCAGAAACGCGCCTCGCAGGTGTTAATACCTGTTCAATGCTATCTTTAATAAAACGAAACAGAAGTACATCTGGAGATTCTGTTTATGTAGGCAAAAGGGTTACGGGAGCCAGGATGGCGATTGAAATATATCTGCAGAACGTGCAAAGAATAACAAAATTAGCATATATATATATATATATATATATATATATATATATATATACATAGAGAGAGAGAGAGAGAGAGAGAGAGAGATATTGTTATGTCCTTTGCACGCGTTCTGGATAGATATTGAAGCGTCTACCTGCATGGTTCCATGGTTTGCAAGGCCACAATAAATAAGGGTGGAAATAAAGTAAGGGACTGCAGCGACGTGGAGGTCTGTTCACGCTTGCTTTGATCTAGATTTCATCCTTCAATGAACACGTGCTAACGGAAATGTAATGTATAAAACCACAGAGTAGTAATAACAAAGGTATATCGCCTAAACCTTGTTTAATTTCTTAATAAAGGCGTTTTAGACTCCATTTGTACAGCAAGAACAGAATGTTTGATTTGGATTCTGGCATTACCAAGTGATTGATAGCGGACGCTTCCTTTTCAGGAAAACTCATTTCAGGCTTAAATTTGTATCTTAATTGTGCAAAATATGCACAGTTTTGCTGTTAATTGCCCGTGTGCTTTCTCTCAAGGTAGATGAAGTCTAAATAGGCAACTGGAATTTTCTATTCCTATCCGGATCTCGTCCAAGATCAACGAAGGCACTTTTTATCTCATCTTTCACTTTTTACACAGTGAATGTATACACGAGATGTGCTTTATTGACTTGTTGGCAATATTCGTTTTTCCGGAAGTGTTCACATATGGGGTATACGTCAAACAGTTTAAATGTTCATACATTTGAATGCTCATGGGGGCATTTTACTTTGATCAGGCATCTCTAGTGTAGAATGGGAATAATCGTGAAATAATAAGAAACACGAAGCAAATCCCATTAGCTGTTCGCATTCAAGAGATTGATGAAATCGTGTCATAAAACTGGAAGCGCATCTACACCTAGGTAATCGTGACACAAAAATTTATTATATCCCTACAGCATTTTCCGTAGGAATCACTATAATAATAATAATAATATATTTATTTAAAGTCTAAAATCCATAAAATATGTTCTGTAGACTTTACAAACTAAAGACTTAAAACACAGTAAGATGAATTGAATTAATAAAATTATGACTTAATAGTCTGAGTTAAGATAATGATGTCCAGTTAATATTTCCGAGTTATAAAATGTTCTTTAATAAAATTTGTGAAAAAGTATGTTTTTAAAGATTTTTTAAAATCCTTCACTGAGCTAATGCTTCTCAAGTCTAGAGGTAATTTATTCCACTCATGTGGTGCTGCGTACTGGAATGATTTTTCGCCAAAATATTTTAGTCTTGCGTTCTGTGGTTTTAGTAGTAATTGATCCTTAGATCTTAAGGTACGGTTTGGTGTGTAATGAGATACAAGATCACAAGATCACACTAGAAAAAATTACCCTTATCAAATCTGATCTGAGATGCAAGTTTTACATAGATGGCGACAGTTACACTTTCTGTAGCAAGGACATTTATTGCAATGAATGATACA